GAGACAGGGCTGTGGAGACCAGAGGTGACCCACGTGTTGCCATCTTGAAGGTGGTCTTGCCAGTGGATAGCGGGAGAAGAGAGCTGCCGTCCTTGCCCGTGATGTTCACCTTTTGGGTGAGCGTAGCCCAGCTGTCCCTGTCCTGCCTGTGCTGTCTGCTGCAGCCCCCGGAGTCTCCCAGCAGGACCCCTGGGTGGTGATGACCCCTGTCCAGGGCCTGGCGTCCCTTCTCACAGCCACTGATGTTTTATCAGCCATGCTGGCTACATCTGATGGGAGCCAGACCAGATGGCGTGGTGGTTGGGACATCAGCAGCTGGGCCATGCTGGCCTTCCCCACCGCTGTTACTGCTGACAACAGCTGGTGCATCTGCAGGAGCCCTGGTGGGAGGCTTAAAGGAAAATACCAGGGGAGTCGAGCTTGTTGCCCATATCAAAGCTATTCTCTCTCCTGGTACAGTGTTATGGTTGTGAGCCAGGCAGTCTGTGACTAGTAGGTTGGATTGATGTTTGTCATGATGACATGATGTGATCTGACACTTCATGTGCTGAGACTTGCTGTCTCCTTCCTTCTTCCAGGTCACAGAAAAGGAGCCTTGTATTTATAATATGCCTGTGCTGAACTGATCTAAGGAAAAGAATATTTGTTTTTTCTTTTAGGGTTTACTACTTCTCTACAATGATGGATGATGTTGCTATTAAAATATTATGTGGATGCTAATTTATTGCTGTAGGGATGTGCTTCTGGCCTCATAAATAGAGACACAATGTTCTGACATTGCAGCCTGAAGTGTGCAATGTTCAGATCTGAACTGCTCTGTTCTTTCTGCCTTCCCCACACCCCACCTGAGTTCTGCAATTGTTTCTTCTTTCTTGTGATGCTTATACGTTAATTATGCTTCTTTCACACTGGCATGTGGCAGAATTTCTGCCACCTTGTGTCCTAACACTGCCTTTGGCATTTTCTTCCTTTTCTATTCTGCCTTCTCTGTTCCTCCATTCCTGATGCTTTTGGTCTGCTCTGTTTGAGCATCTCTTTCATATTTTCTCCTTAGCTGTTTTTCTTTTCATCTGCTTGTACTGTTCAAGGCACTGCATCTTGCCCTGACACGTCCTTGTTGCTCTCTATTTTAAGATTTACTTGGGGTCCAGGTTTTAGGTCTTTCTGCCTCCTAACGTTTGTTTTCATGATGCTTCAGGTAGAGTACTCGGTTAATGGACATATCCTATACGTTCTAACCTACTGAATATATTTTGTTTACCAAGGCAGCTCCCCTGACTTGTTCTTATGGTATTACCAAATGTCTTTGTCTCTACATAACTGCCAGATTCCCTTACCTGAAATTTTTGACACATGGTGATGGGCTCTGACAAGGATTATACTGATGTGCATACATCACTATCAGGCAAGCCTTCAAACTCCAGCTGTTGTTGCTGTTGCTTCTGCCCTCACTGACTGACAGGCAAGAATGAGAATGTCTTGGGAAGGAGTCAAAAGTCATAATGAATCTCAATTTACCAAGAACAGCAGCAACACACTACGAATGAGGAAAGAGACGGATCAGAGCAGAAGAGCAAAGAGGCGCTGGTCTAAACAGGAGTCTCTGGCCACCCCACAGCTCTTTGGCAGGTTGTATGAACAACAGGTAAAATGGTAGCAATCTTGAAAATCATCTCAAGAAACCTCCTTTTTTTGTGGCCACATGCATCTTGTATCTCATACCAGCAGTACTGACAGTGACTTTCATCTTTTGACTCATCATGGCATGCCTAAGGTGTTCTATTGTATTCAAAGAAAAATAGTTCTTTTTTACCTTTAATGGCAGTAACTGGTGTTTCGTTGTGGTAAGTAATGTTGTGGGGATGTCCACTCTGTTCTCCAGGACGGTGAAGCAACCAAGACCATCTTTAAAGACTGCTAATGGTTACATTCTTGATTCAGTCAATGCTTACAAGGGGGCTAGGGCGTTTAGTTAGTTCTGTGTAGATCCTAGAGAGATATTCTGCAAAGCACTGTGGAATAACTTTTTTTTTTTTTAATTTGTTTTATGTGGTGACCCTATGACACTGGCTAAGTACTTAACACTTCAAAAAGTTATGTTGCTCTGTGGGTCTCTGAGTGCTTAGAAACTCAGAAAATTTGGTCGTTCACATACACCTGTATCTTGAAAGCTGGCAAAGTTTTGCTCTGGGGCTTTCCTTCAGAAAGGTTCTTTGTGTTCTGGGAGGCTATGCAGAAATTGTCAATGTTCTGGGAAACAGAACTGAGAGGTGAGGTTAAAAGCTTTAGCCTAAAGCTAATGTTAATATTTAGGCTTTATAAATAAGTTTTCTGTTTTGTTATTTTGCCTGATAGAATTGCGTGTCAGTGCTAATCAATAGAAATAAATAGATTTCCTTCTTTGCTAAAAAACCAAGAAAGTGATTCTAGATATCCCAAACCTTTTATTGGAAGTAAGAGGTTGTAGAGAGGCAGACAGGTCTCTGAAATACATCTAGACCTGAATTCTGACATCATCTTTGGCATTTTGTTAATCCAATTCACTTACAGATATCTGACAGCAAACCATGGCAGCCACAGTAAATTGTGCATCTTGCTGTGAATTGTTCTTTGTTGGGAACTGTGAAATGTGGTCTGTTTTCTTTGCAAATATGCCTGGCTTCATACTTCTTTTTTTTCCCTGGCAAGAGAAAGTAGCATCACAAAATTTATGAAGTAATTCCTTTCTTAATCTAATGTAGTCTACATTAGTTTTTATAGTGGTCTTCATGACAGTTAAAAAAAAAGTCTCTATCTTTAAATAATCTGCTAAACTGATCTGCAGATCTGGGCTGAAACTGAGAGAGAGTGGTCAGAAAGAATGAGGTGTAGGACAAGGAGCAGAAAACAGGTCTTGGACTGCTAAAATAAGCTTCTATAATCTGGAGTGAAACACACCATGATCAAATGCTACTACCCCAGTGGTTTTGGGGGTGTGTAGGAAGCTAATTATGACTGGTCTCACAGAGACAGGGGTAACCTGCACAACACAGTTCATGTGCCACAGGCCTGTGTGGTGGCCTGAAAGGTTCTGATTTTGCTTCTAGCTCAGAGGCAGTCTAAGTCCTCTTAACAAAACTTATGATTTCAGTTGTTTCAGGGATGGGAAGAAGTAGTGACTGATTAAAATTATCCATTAAGGTCACCTTAAAATAAATTTATGAAGTAAAGTAAAACACTTAAAAGTGAAGAAATATAATTAAAGTTGTTTATGCATTCTTAGTTTATTACTTTTGCATATGCATTATGACAGTGTGTCTAACTGCATTTTTAATTCCTGTTTTCCAATAGACCCCAGCCCTGGGCTTTCTCCCTCTGATGAAGCAGGGTAATATTGTGAGGGAGATTTGTCTGTAGAAGCTTCACTTGCTGCAGAAATTGGGAGAGTATGGTCAGTACAGCAGGAAGCAGGAGGAAGAACAATCATGATGAGGATAGCTGAATGCTGAAGACTAGGTTTCTTGTCATGCACTTCAAACAAATGTTATTCTTCACTTGATTATTTGAATGTTCCTAATTTTATGGATAACTGACTTGAAATTGTCAGACCTCATTTGTTGTGTGGCTGAGCACTCATTGATACTTTTGTTTACTGGAAGTGAAAGTCCAGTACATACTGCTGTCTATACTGGCAAAATGGCTCTCAGTATCTCAAGCCGAGCCTCCAGCAGTGGTTGCAGACACTTTGTTCTTGGTGTCTGTCCTTCAGTCATTCTGTAATATGGATACATTGTCATCTCTTCTCATTCAACTTGTTAATGATACAGAAAGAAATCAGAATGCTGGTGAAATGTTCAGGTGCAGCAGCAGTGAGAGGCCTAGGGATATCTCTCGAGAAGTTAGTGCCCTTCTGTTCAGTGAAGGACTTAATAGTATTAATTCTTTAATAAATGCCATTTGACAATGATAATATAACAAAATATTGACTAATTGCTCAATTAGGAAGCATGATTTATCTTCTCACACTGAAGGAGCTCTGTAGGAGAACAAGGCATATCTTGGTGTAGTGAAAGACTGTCATAATCCATATGCTCAAGGGGTGGAGTCATTCAGAAGCATCTCCCATTTTAACTGCCTATTACACGGTCTTGGTGCACTTTTAACATGATTAGGAGCTCCCAGCCAGCTCTGCTTCTGTTGAGGCTGTGTCTGAACAGAGTGATGCTGTGAGCACCTGCTGAGCAGTCTGGCTGGTGCAGCCCTTTGCTACAGCCTGTGCACTTTCTCTTTCTTAGCAGAGCTGATTAATCTGAGCAGAGCAAAAAAGAGTTGAGAGCGTGCTCAGGTGTCTCTGCATGAGACTGTCCAGTGCCCCATAGACAATGTCAGGCGTTGCAGCTATAGTGGGTAGTTGCTTTTTTCCAATAATGAAGAAGGATCTTTATTAGAAAATAAATCCACTGTTGTTTCCAAAACAAACAAAAAATGGTTTCAGTAAAGGTGTAGAGCTCCTACTGCTCTTTGAAATTGTCTCAGCTGCTTAATCAGACTTCCTGAGACACTTGATAAACAGCACAGATCTTTTAATATCTTTAGTTCATTACATAAAGTAAATGTATGGCCTAAAGTAAATCACACAAGCTCTCTCTGTCTTGGCTTGTGTCTCTGCCTTGGCTGTAAAAATATTTATCAGTCTCACATGAACCTCCTGTGATCCAATTACTCATTCATTATAAATGAATCTTGAGATCCTTTGAGACACAGAAGTGGTGCAGGGTTGATGTTTTTTTAAAAAAAAAAAATTGCTAGCAAATTGCTCTAATAGAGATGCAGGCGTTCATTTCTGTGCCATCCCCTTGGCACGGAAGTGTTCAATGTATTCAGTCAAAATAGAAGGATGGTAGATACTTTTCCATGTTTTACAGTTTAGTTCTTAGATAAAAAAAATAATCAGAAGTGGTAGGAACAGATGTGATTCTGTCAGTCTGGAAAAAAACTAAATGAAAATTTTGTATTTGTTTTGTTTTTTATGTAGTTGCTTCCAAAATCCGTTACCTTCAGGAATACCACAACCGGGTTCTCCACAACATTTACCCTGTACCCTCTGGAACTGACATTGCAAATACTCTGAAATACTTTTCTCAGACGTTATTGAGGTAAGTTTTAACACATGCTCTTGAAGAAAAAAGGGCTAAAGAATTGTAGGGGGTATTGATTGACTTTGAATTGGTTGCAAGATTTAATGGGTCAATGCTCAGCCAAAAAGAGTCAGAGCATAATTTAAGTAAGGAATGGTATGAATTAATCTCTTCAGTGGCTGTTGCCCAATTTGCCCAGTTGAGCTACTTATTGAGTGGCTGATTCTAAAATAAACTTGGTTGATTACACATTTGCTTGGCCTTCCTAAGATTTAACTGAATGCACAAAGTTGTGAAGAAAGGAGTTTGTGACCTATAGAGCTTTAGATTTGTGTACTCATGACCTGCTTGACAGTCTTGGTGCCTGAGGAACCTAGAGCAATGCGCCAGACGAGCAGAACTAGGTTCTTACCGTGCCATACTTCAGCTGGCTGTCAGGATTGGGTTCTGGTTCAGTCCCTTATAATAATACGAGTGAACATGAAGTTTGTATACAGATCTGGATTTGCATGGCAGCAACAAGTCAGAATTGTTCTGAAGTGGGGTTTTGATTTAGTCCAATATTTAGTAATAACATATAGTACTAAATACCGTATGATTACAGAATACGTTTTGAATAGGAAATGCTACCTCTTGTCCTGACACAAAGACATGAAAAATTGTGGAGCTTAGTTAGGAATGATGTACATTCCACAGTGCTACATAGTGGATTCATATTTCAAATTGTTTTTAAAATGGCTTTTGACAATGAAGAGGTCTGCCTGGATTTTGGCTGGCACTAGTTTTCACATCCCAGAAAATGCAGTTGAAGATGCATCTCTGTGCATAGTGTCCTGATTTATACCTGGAAAGATTGTACCTGCTGTCAGAAGCCAGTTTGAAAAGACAGCTATTTATTTGCCTTATTTCATGAGGAAACATTAAAAAAATACAATTCACTCATATATTTATACACATACCCCTATGATGAATACAAGTTGAGAAGCAAGAATTTAATCTTGAAAGAATTACAGTAGTTCATTCTAACATTCATTGAAAGTGCATGGGATGTATCAAAATTCTTGATCTTGTTTACATGAAGGAAAGATACATAGACAGAAATACTCATTATCAGTGGAACACCTGTTCATTGCAAATTTAAAAACCTGTTTTGAAAATTGCAAGAGTAGATTGTTTAACCACTGAAATTTAGACTATTGAAGTAACTTATGGCAACCAGTAGGGCTTCTTTTTAAGCTTAATAAATTAAATTTTGTCTCATTATATTGCAGCAGTGGGGGAAAAAAACCAAATAAACAAGTTCAAAGAATCACTGAAGGTGCTTCTGAAATGTGGCTCTGTTCCCACATAAGGCTGTTTTGATGGATTATTTGCACCACACACTTAAATCACATTTAAGTAAGGTTCTATATGACAAACCAGCCTCTGCTTAAATGTTGTGGGCCTTTAAGCTGTTAAATCAAGAAAGTTGGACTTGATTCTGAACATTTTCTCTCTTGGCTGTAACTACCAAGTGCTCTAATGAGATCTATTTCTTTTTGGGCAGAAGTCCATTGGGACAGAATTAATTTAGAGTCTGCTGCTTGAAGAAAGTGTCTTTATACCACCCTGTTGCCTTCATCTTTCTCAGCAGTACAGCTGATGTCCTGTGTGGCAAATTCTTCACATTCCATGAGCAGTGATGTTTCTGGGCTTAGGGAAAAAGCTTTATACTTACTGATGATGAGAGCAGATAAGAAATCAAGGCAGCAATTGCACAACAGAAAACTCAATTTCTTTATTCCATGTTCAGAATGGGACTGAACCAAAATCCTCTTGTTGATAATGCTGAACCTTGTGGGGCAGAAGTGATACTCATACCTGATACGCAGGTCTACACAAATGGCTTTGTTCTTCATGATCTGGGAGCTGATTAGCCTCAGAACTAAAAGGATGCCAGAAACTGGAGCCAGAACTTGTATCTAAATTTAAGTGGACTGGATTCTGCTAGTAAGCTAGGTCAAATCCACATTCTAAATCCCCATAACAAGGGAATTTGAAGTGTGAGTCAAAGCCTGAGTGATATGGTTGAACCAGTATAAATTTATACACTTGCTGATACTAAGAAAGGAGCTGGATAAACAAAACACACCCTGTATTTAGTGTGGCAGATGGAAAGAAGGAAACTCCCACCCAGTGTGTGCAGGTCTCTGCAAGATTTACCCTAAAACTAAACAGACTGGTTAAGAACCTTTTTGAAGAGTGTGCTCAGAAATTTCTTTGAATATTTTGCATACTGAGTCTTCTTTCTGCCTCCTACACTGACAATCCGTTGTGCAAGGTTTAACATCAATGATAGAAGCCCATGATGGAGAATAATCTTTGCAGCTTGGGACAGAGCATATGCAATGAATTTGGGCTGCTAAGAGAATACTGATCAAATGGTAGCGAAAATACCCGTTGATTTCTGGAGATTTTGGATCTAGTCTTCACAATAGTTTGCTTGTGATCATCTACTATTTTAGGATAACTTTAAAAAATACTTCCCAGTTTGATGTGTACTCTCTTTGCAGCTGAATTTTTTAGGATAAACATTTCTTGATGAACATATGTAGTCAAAGGAATGAAGGAGGAATAGTGATTAGTCAGAGAAATTCCCTATAATGATTGGGTTTTACAGGTGTAGCTTTTACAGTTTATTATACTTTTTATCTTTCCATGTTATGGATTCATTGACTGTGTTCTTTTCAGTGGGGCATGCCCACTGTTTTGGATCACATTCATATCTGGTAGTCATTCTGCTAGCTATAGTTGGATCACACATGGAATTAATTTGCTCCCTTGCTCTGTACATAGCCTCAATAAATCACAGGCTCAGGGGTGGGGGGAACAGAAGTGGAATGGCTGAAAAAATTAAGTTCCTCATTTCGATGAACAAACATCACATAAAATCACCATACACGATGCATAGCACATTGATTCATTTAGTTCCTCCTTAATTTTCCTCTTTGGGCAAAAGCATTTACATTACAGCATGAATTTGTTTCATGCCCTGCTCATTTTCAGTGTTTTCTCCCTCATTTGAGGAATGATCTAAGACTTAATAAACATCTTACAGAACAGCTCATTCTTTCATGTTTTCTTGGAGAAAATTCTCCGTACGTATTTCTAAGTAAAATGTTTTACATAAGGAATAGTTATAAATGCCCAGTGGCTAATTAATGGTCAAGCTGGTTTTGCTGCCTTGGCAAGATGCAGTTCTCTTGTAGGCATTTTAAGAAACCTTTCTGGGAAGGCAGTAATTTTGGGGTAGATTTGCAGTAAAGATGTACAAATCTTGAAACAAGCCCTGGTAGCTTTGTCACTTGTTATGGAGCAAGTTCAGTGTGGAGTTAAGACCTGCAGACACTCCAAGTCCTCACTACTTGGTTTGAACAGAAACAGGAGCAAACTGCAGTCATTGTATCTTGGTCTTAGGGGGCTTCCTAGATTTTCAGTTTTTGACTCTTCTGTTTATTGATTTAAAACACTTGGGCCAGGCAGAAGCCTGGGTTTGAAAGTTTTTGTTTGTTTTCTAAATTTGGCGTGGTTGCAGCTGGAATTTAGATACAGTCTCATTACTTTTCCTGAAGTGAACAGAAAGATGCCCTGATCAAGATACAAGGTGGTGTGCTTTGGCCTCTCATCCATAGATGGGCCATAGATCCATGTTAAAGGAAGGGAAGCCTATAGTGCAAGCTCTCCGTCACTGCCTTACAGTTTCCAAAGCAAGGATTAATTAATACAGTAATATCCTTTCTGGAAATAAGTGCACTTGAATTGATGTGTTGGCAAGTAAAGGGATGGGTAATTGGTATCACCTGTTGGTAGACAGGGCAGGAATATAATTTAGTACCTTTTTATCTCTAAACATGAGCTGCAAAGTATGGCAAATGAACATCAAGCAAACTAAAAGGAATCAGCACTCTGATCATTTGTTTTTAAAGTCATACTAGATTTTAGGCAATTTTCTGATACAATTTCATAAACACTGTCACAACAGTCACCACGTTTCTTATACTGGACATTGGGTAACAGAAACCAAAATAATCTGCCAAAGATGTAAAGCACAATAAAAAAGGAAAAAAGAATTATGTAGTTTCTTAAAACAGACTATGATGTCTGTTGTCTCTGACTGCAAGTGTGATGGTATATTAGCCACTTGGCATAGAACTGTAATTGTAGAAGTGTTCTGTATACATGGCAAATGAATGACACCTTCTCTTATAAGCACCTTAGCAAGAGTTTAGCTTACCTGTGTAAATTGTTGAATTGACTTGTGAGGTAAGATATATCTGTGCTAAGGTGATTATATGGTAGGAATTTCTGTACTGTTAAAGAGGACAGAGGTTTCCAGAAGTGTTCCCTCTTCTTATAACTCTGTTTTTCATTAGTCAGTGGAAATTTTAATGCCACTGACTTGTCTTTTATAAGTTTTAACACTGACTTTGGGAACAGAGTTAAACCAACAGCAACTGCTTTTGGAAATCCCAACCACTGAGAGGTGCAAAATGTGCTTAAAAAAAAATAATTGTGTGGTTTAATATACTTTAAAAGTGTATAATGTTTTATAGGCACATATGGAAATTATGAACTAACCCTATAATTGCCTGATAACTAAAATATAACATTGCTTAAGTGACAGTTCATTTCTATTTAAAACAGTGGGTTTTATTTTTTAAATAAATTAGAGTAACATGTTTACAACCATGTTTACAACGTTCTTAAAACGACATAACAAGCTGGTTGACGTGTAGCCTCTATTTTGATTCCCACTAAATCATATTTATTTTTTTAAATTATCTCTCCTTTAGTTTATAGTGAGTTTTGTTGAATAATAACGTAAGTAACAGCAGCAATGTATGGTAACATACTGTCTGATCTGCAGTTACATAATTGGTCTTGCTTGCTTAGCCCTTAGATTTTTTTTAAAGGTAACTATTTATCCGAGGAGTGTTTGTATTTGTAAAGTAAAATGTTTCCTCCCTAAACATGGGCAAAATTAAAAACACACATAAACAACCATTATCATTAGCTCACAAACATATGCTAAAGACCATTTACTATATTATTTTATAACTTTTCCAAATGTAGTTTAGTTAACATTTTAGAAATATTATATTATTTCTAAATCCATGTGCCTGTTTAAACTTCATTATCTCAAATGATACTGAGTGAGTGGTCATGAAACAGTATCATAAAATACATAGACATTATTTTAATGCAATAAACATGTGATTTTTAAGACTATCTTAACAAACACACATGTTTATTCTTTGCTAAAACATGTTTCTGCAAGTGCCACACCTGTATTTTGCATGTTTTCAGTCAGCTGATTATTGGGGGGTGGTGGGAGGGGAATAAATCTCTGAAAATCCTCAAAATCTCAGAGCAAAATACCAGCCTATTTTGACACAGCTATTTTCCCATAGCAAGCACTTTTAATTCTCAGAATTTTTTTTAACTGTAAAACATGGGTAGGGCACTGAAACATGCATTTTTATATTTTTGCTCCTTATGAACCAGATAACACATGAGATGCAATGAAATTTTCCTACATGTCAATTTTTAATTCTCTTATCTTGAAGCATGAAAGTGAATGGTTGGTAGATTTGTAGACACACTGGTTTTGGTAGCAATTGCATCTTATGTGGGATGTATCTGGTGTTTTATTATTTGTTTTATAGTGTCATTTCAATGTAATGTGCTGTTCTTTGTGTCTTTGTTGTCTCTTTTTTTTCTTTGTCCCCCCAACAGCATTTTGTCCCGCACAGGGAAGAAGGAGAATCAAGATGCCTCCAATTTGACAGTGCCCATGACCATGTGTCTTTTTCCTGTGCCATTCCCACTCACCCCATCTCTAAGACCACAGGTCAGTTCCATCAACCCTACTGTTACTCGCTCCCTCCTTTACAGCGTCCTGCGAGATGCTCCATCTGAACGTGGCCAGCAAAGTCGTGATGCTCAGTTATCAGACTACCCATCTTTGGACTATCAAGGACTTTACGTGACACTGGTGACACTGCTGGATCTAGTTCCCTTGCTACAACATGGTCAACATGGTAAGCTGGCCCTTGAAACCTTCCAGTACGCTTAACTTCAGTGCTGTGAATCCATGAATGATGCATAAATGCAGTAGAAGAGATGGGCCTAAACTGACCTGGATCTGGAATTCAAATCTCCTGGGATGCATTTCTATCCAAGTGTTTGGTTTGACTTTCTTAAATAAAAGATGTTGTTTTTTGCTAACTGTGGATTTGGGTTTGAATTCTGAGGTTGCCTGATTTCTAGTGATATGCTGGTGATATGTAACTGAAATACAACAGTATGTAACAAAAATTATACAGATGGGTCTTAAAAAAAAATCTAGATTTTGAATTTGAATCTGCTGGGGTATCTTCAGACCAGTCTTTTTGGGATGGTTCTCTTAAAAAAGCAGATTGCTTGCAGATGTAAATCTGGCCTATGACGAATATGCAGATTGAGTGTTTTGGTGAAGGTCCATCTCTAAATAGAACACAGTACACATTTAATTGAAGAAGAACCATGAGAATGGTAATTTGAGATGGCTTTAAACATTCCTGGGTAAAAAGATAGCAATATCTCTGTCTGACTTACAGAAAAGCTGTATTTTCTTATGTTTTCAATTAGTTAATCACAAGATTTTTTGGTGACTGTGTTGTATTTATATTACTTTCCCACAAGTTCTGCATATGTCTGGTATGTTAATCTGTGGCTTTCCATACTGGGATTCAGGAGCCCAGTGTTCTCCATATGTTACATAAGCCAAATACTAGTTTTCAGCATGGTATCAGGGTGTATTACTTATATAGTTCAGTACAGGGAGATTGTTGTCAATCTGGTACACTGCTGAAATTCTTTAGGAGGAAAGTTGTTTCTGTTAAATGCTGAATTCCTTTTGAGTTGGCAGCAGTACGTTTTGAATCAAGGACTACTGCACTAGGAAATGGTATGATCTTGCAAGAGGGGTGCTCCTAGCAAGTTATAGACTTGTTGAGTTAACTTCAGTTTCTAGAAATGGTGAAGTTAACTATCAAAACAATCTTTTTCTAAATAGATAACATGGTGATAATTAACGACCAGTGGAGACCTGTAAAGAACAAATCATAGAATCATAGAATCATAGAA